AGGGAAAGACAGAGAGTGGGACAAGACCGGTTTGTAAAAAGGAAACGGACACAACTGAGGTCATTTCATCACTCCCCAACCTGATGGAGCATCGTAGCGAACACCAGGCTACCAGGAACAGGGCCACTGAGACAGGGAAAGGGAGCGTCCTGAACTCAAGGTGTGGGCAGTGCCCGGGAAGTCTGTAGGTGGAGAATTCAAGCACTTCATGGAGTGTGCACAGTGCCACCAACACAAAGATCTGTCCATCCACGACTCTTTCTGCTCGATTCACAGCGATATTCTGCAGGAATCCAGTTACTTGCAGCTCTTGGACAGGACCACATACTCCCAAGCTCCCAATGTCACCTTCCATGAGATCCTTTTAATCCTAGATTTCCCACTATGGGCTGTGTGTGACCCTGGAGAAAACACTCCACCCCTTAGCTTCTCAGAGGTAGGTAATAATTCTTTCCTTGAAGAATGGCGAGGGGGCTGGCTATGAAGTGTGTATGAGGGCCCAGTACAGTGGCTGGTGGACCTCGACAACCACTGGTTCCCTGCCCCACTCTCCACCCTGTGCTTTGGTACTCGCTCTCTGGATAGGGGCCCCTGCATCTACACGGCCTGTTCCTGTAGGGTGTTCATGTGTTTGTGCGTGTGCGTGCCTGTCTGTACGTGTGTAAAAGAAACAGAGAGAGAAAGAGAGAGAGGAGGGAGGAGCAGGACGAGTGTATAATTGTGTTGAGGGAAGGTAAGGGGCACACGGTGCGTCTAACACCCCCCAACTCCCTCTCTCAAGCCATCAACCTCTTCACTGGAGGCCCTGACAGGGTGAAAATTAACCACCAGCCTCCTCTAATCACTGTACAGGGTAACGCAGGCCACGGTTAGACTCCTTCCTCTTCTCTGTTGTCAGAAGGGAGCTATGTTTACACTCCAGGAAGAGCCTTTACTCGGAGTTACGCAGGTTGCGTGTGTGTGCGCACATGTTGGCCTGTGCATGATGGGGGCGGTGTGTGAATGACTTCTAGGCACTTGCTTTGAGACAGGGAACTGGGGGGACTTTTGTTCTGCAGGCCTCCAGGCCGCCCTGCCCAGCCCTGCACTCAGACGGCACACACATCCCCTACCCTGACCCTGTATTCTCCAGTGAGTTGATCTCATTATGGCAAATTTAGTTACAGCTGAAGTCTCCTTGTAACCAAGATTATGTCCAAGCCCAGAGTAATGGAACCTAGTCGATTTCATTAAAATAAAATTGGTTACAATGAATAATTCAATAGGATGATTTTGTTTCCTCATCTCCTCTTTGTAGATCGAAGAGCTAGTATTTATAATGATTTTTTTTAATTGGATTTTTGTTTAGGAAGAGATAATCACCCATGATTCCTGACAGTCTCCCCTCCTTAGGAGGCTGGAATAATTGCCCCGCAAAGTCTCTTTTCAAATGCTAAGACTGGAAAATTCTTTCTCTCCTTTTCTCACATTAGTAGCAATAAACTTTGGGTGGTTTTTAAGCACAGCTGCTACCTCAACACCTGCTCATGTGAGATTCTGAGTGTGTTAATAATACCCTTGTTTGAATGATGTTTTTTAAACATTTCTAGGAACTGGATGGAGGTGCTGAATTTGGAATTCCTGGCTCTATTGCTGGCCAGCCCTGCTGTTCCTGAAGCAGGACACTCTGTGTGAGAGAGGTAGCAATGTGCGTGTGTGCGTGTGTGTGCGTGTGTATCTACAGTCAATTAAATACACATCTCCTGAACTCCTAGTCTTATCTAGACCCTGTGCTTGAAGATGGAGGAACAAAGTGAACAAAACCTCAAAACTGTTTTCACAAAACTAGCAGAGTCTAAAGGGGGAGCCAGACACAGAAACAGGCAATTAGAGTTCAGAGCACGGGTATAGCCAGAGATGGACACAGCAAATACAGAGGTGGCACGGGGCAGGATGAGGCCTACACAAGCACTCATTTATTCATTCATTCGTTTGTTCGTTCATTCATTCATGCACCCGGCTGGCACTACACATGGGAAATGTCAGGGAATACCACGCCTCCATTTCTTTCCATCCTCCTTGGGGCAGTCAGAAGCAAATGAATGAATAAAGAATCTAATGCACGTAAACACAATCAGATAAATGAAAAAATGACCAAATAAACACTGTAAGTGAGGTTGGACTCCTTTTGTACCTCTTCCGATGATTTTCACTGGGCCCCAGAAGGTCACATTTCTCTTTCATCTAGAAACCAGGCCTCCCCCCAACCACCCCACCGACCCTGAGTCAGGGAAGCAATATTAGAGAGGAATGGCTAGGAGTAATGGCTCATCTGCAAGGCCAGGAGGGAGGCCGGCCTCAGAAACGGCTATGGGGCCAGGCAGTAGGAAGCACTGAGTCGTGTCTCTGGGAAACAAGGATCTCGGAAGAAGGCAGGTGCTTGTTCATCAGGATAATTGGAAAGGGGGCTCTGGGGACAGTATGGCCATCCCGAGAATCACATCAGCTCTGGTGGCCCCAGCACTCTTGCTCCCTCAACTAACCTGACGGTCCCTTGGGGAAGAACCTTGGGACATAACTAGTGCATTCGGGGACTAAGGAACGAGGCACAGCTTTTTAGAGTCGGGAAGGTCCTTGGAGATCATCCAGCTCAACTACCCTCTAACTTAAAGATGGGGAAAATGGGGCCCAGAGAGGTGGGAAGACTAGCCCAAAGCCACACAGCAAATTCATGGTAGAGGCACTGTTAATTCACGGGAGAGTGCTCAAGGAGCACACAACTTGACACTCTGCCCGCCTCGAAAGTGAGACTCTCCCCAAGAATTTGTTCTTATCCCACTGAATTCCAGTGGCATATCCAAAATGGAGAGCTTTCCCCAGATATAACTTACAATAGGTAGGGACACAGGAGGACAGTCATTACCCCTACTATGCTGACGTTTCTTGCCCTTAACCCTTCCATGTCCAATCGCTGACAAACAGGTCTCATGAGACCTTAGGATTGCATTTGGCCATTTGCAGCGACATGGATGGACCTAGGGATTATCATACCAAGTGAAGTAAGTCAGAAAGAGAAAGCCAAATACCATATGATATCAATTCTAGGAAACAGAAACAGATTCACAGACATAAAGAGCAGACTTGTGGATACCAAGGGGGAGGAGGGTAGGGGAGGAAAAGACTGGGAGTTTGGGATTAACAGATGCAAACTAGTACATATAGAATAGAGACACAGCAAAGGTCCTACTGTAGAGCACAGGGAACTATATTCAATATCCCGTGATAAACCATAATGGAAAATATTATGAAAAGGAATATATATGTGTAGAACCGAGTCACTCTGCTGTACAGCAGAAACTAACACATCATTGTAAATCAACTACATATCAATAAACTTTTTTTTTAAAATGACTTTATAAAAAAATTTGAAAAAAAGCATTATAAGCAAAGTCAAAAGAAAAATTGCAGACTGAGCGAAAATATTTTCAACATACATCACAAACAAGAGCTCATCTCGCTGGTAAATAAACCACTTCCAACTATCAAGAAGCAAAAGACCAAAGTCCCAATAGAAAAATGGGATAAAGAGACTGCTCATAGAAAAAGAAAGGAACATGACCATGATACATACATACAAAAAGAATCTCAATTTCACTGTAGTAAAAGAAATGCAAATTAAAACAACATGAGATGACATTTTCTTACCTACGGAGATAGTAAAAATCCAAAAGTTGACAATACACTCTGTTGTTAAAATTGGAGAGAAACAAACACTTTCATACATTCCCGATAAGAATATAAAATGGCACAGTCCTATGGAGGAATATTTGATAAAAATATGATAAAGTTATATACGCATTTTTTTTTTTTTTTTTTTTGGCCACACTGTGCAGCTTACAGGATCTCAGTTCCCCGACTAGGGATCGAACTCGTACCCTTGGCAGTGAAAGCGTGGAGTCCTAACCACTGGACTGCTAGAGAATTCCCTATATATGCATTAAAAAAAAATTATATTTGGCTAGAGATATGATCAAGTGGCCATGTCCAATGACACTGTCTTTGTGATGGGCAACCTTGAGGGGCAGAACAGAGATTCAGAATGTCTGCACGAAATGTTACGTGTGGCTGGGAGCTTACCTGGGATGCTGCTGGTTGGCCGATGATGACCCAGCCGGGGCACTGCTGGTCTTGATGGGATACGGAAGCGTTGGATGCCCATTGATCCAGGAACCCCTGGGGCGTGTAGACACCACAGTCTTTGATGCTAGTTTTTTGTTCAAACTCCTCACATACCCCATCACCGTCATGGAAATAGCACCGGCTGGGTTCATCTACAGGAGATAGACATAGAAGGGAGAGACCAGATCAATGTTTGTTCTTTGGCCTCACCTGTCATCAGCAGCTATGGAATCAGATCAGCAGAATCATCAGCATATGGTCAAGCCCATCGCTGCGAGTCACAGTTGAATATTATTCAGTCTTTAAAAAGGAGATCTTGCCATATGTGACAACATCAATGAACCTGGAGGACATTCCATGAAGGACAGATACTGTATGATTCCACTTATATGATGTATGTAGAACAAACTCATAGAAGGAGAGAGTGGAATGGTGGTTGCCAGGGGCTGGCAGGAGGGGGTTGAGATTTCGGAGTTACTGTTCAATGGGTATAAAGTTTTAGTTATGCAAGATGAGTAAGTTTTAGAGATCTGCTGTACAACACTGTGATTATAGGTAACAGAACCGTATGTACACTGAAAGATTTGTTAAGAAGGCAGACCTTGTATTATGTGATTTTTACTACACACACACAAACAAAAGCTGACAAACATTTCCACCTTCATTACCCCAAATAAGCCCCACAGCAAGCTTGTGAGAAAGGTGCTATTATTTAAGTTATTATTTTAGTCTTCCAGATTAGGAAACCGAGATCCCACCTATCTTTAAGAATTTGCCCAAGGTCATCCAGTGCGTTCATGCCAGATCCTAGTTTCAAACTCAGGCTTTCCACTGTCCAAGTTCTGGGTACATTATCTGCCACCACAGAACTTCATGGTCTCAAACTGAGGTTTATTTAACTCTAAAGAGGACTACAGTTTGACATAAAGAGCGCACTGATACATGAGAGACTCTGGCTTCAGTCCCAGGTCTGTAACTAAATTGCTCTGTTCCTTTAGACAAATCTCTTTCCCTC